CATCTTCTTTCTTATCGATTTTTCTTCCTCTCCAAAACAAACAAACGCAAATTTGCCCAATGATGGAAACTCATTAAGTGGAGATTGCTTTGGTTCTTTTTGTGAGCCTCCATGCTTTCTTCCACTCATCAGTTTTAGCTGCTACTGTTGCTGCTTCTTCATCAAAACAAACCCAGATCAGGGCTTGAGACAAACTCTACATTTCTCCATCCACCTCTGCTTTTCTTTTCACTCGCCATTTCTCCTCTGAATCAGCAGATATTATTGTGAAGAAAAGCTTAAAGCCTGACGTCATGGCCCCCGCATGGCTTTGTAGCAGCAACAGCTGGTATGCGTCGTCGCAGGCTCACTGTAGGCTCGAACAACGAGCTAGCCACTGATGAGAGCTTCATTTTTGTTTGGTTTTTTTTTTTTGAACTCTTGTGGTTTTTGTTCTATTTTTTTGAACTCGTGGTTTTTGTGATGATTTTGTTATGTTTTTTCAAACTCGTGGTTTTTGTTCTGTTTTTTCGAACTCTTGTGGTTGATTATTGGTCCTGATTTTGCTACATTTCTTTGTCTTGATGGAACTAGAATTTTTGGTTCTCTTTAAACCAGTTCTCATTGGTTTCTGTGCTGATTTCATCGACATTTTGGGTTCTGGTTTGCTACATATTGAGTCTTCGGTGGTTCGGTACTGTTTCTTTTTGATTTATTCGCATCCATGTGATTTGACTTGGTTTGGTGAAATTCGAATATGTATTTGAGGTTTTTTTTAGATTGTGATTTAGTTTCTCTTTGTTGCATTTCAGTGGTGTCAGAGGAGTCATCTTGATTTGAGAAAAACCCAGATCTGGGTTTGATTTGGAGAGGAAGAGGAAGGGACAAAGAGAGAGAAAGTGAAAGAGGAAGAAGAGATGACATGGAGGTTTTATTGTTAGACTGTGATTTAGTTTCTCTTTTGTTGCGTTTTAATGGTATCGAAGGAGTTATCTGGGTTTAAGAAAAACCCAGATCTGGGTTTGATTTGGAGAGGAAGAAGAAGTGACAAAAGAAAGAAAGTGAAAGAGGAAGAAGAGATAACATGGATGAAAAAAAAATTCACTAATTTTAAATTAAATAAAATGCCAACTCATAAAAAAAAAGGTGTCATGTCATTAGTTAAGAAAAAAAAATTGATTTCCTGGCAAGTTAACATGCCACTTGTCCATTTAACTAACGGAAGGACAGTTTTGGTATCGAAATGAAAGTTTAAGGATAATTTTGATACTTTTTAAAGTTGAAGGACAATTTTAGTGTAAAAGTGAAAAGTTGAGGGACCAAATGGTACTTAAACCTTAAAAATATAGTAAAAATGATTTTCCTATTTCAGCGCCCAAGCTGGAAGAGAAGACT